ATATCACTTTATACAGTTCTTCTTCAGCAGCATGTAATTTAAAAGCTGCAGTATGGATTTGACCTGGGAGGCTAAGTTCAGCACTCTTAGTTTTGACGTTTACTTGTTTGGAGGCAATGTCTAGACAAACTGGCTTCATAAGCCTTCTCTAACTCTGTAGCTGTGTGAGTCATAAAAATTGAAAGTCAGTTAAGTCTTTTATAGTATCATCCTTGAAAGTATCAATTGTAGATTTCATCATAAATTTAAAATTAATAATTTTGATCTGCTTTGTTATTTGAATAAAATCATATCTCCTTTGTATATTGACATTGTATGTAATATATGAATGTGTATATATGTGTGTGTTTATTTATAGTATAAAATTGAAATACTCTGATGTACAGACTGCCAATGATGTTGCTATTCCAGAGGATTTTTCAGACTTTTCTCTTGCAAAAACAATTAGCAGACTTGAAGGGCAACTGGAGGAAGAAGGTTTGCCTGATTATATAGATGATGATATTTTTTGTGGTGTTAGTAATGATATTGGAACAGGTAAGTTTTATTTTTGTCCTTATATCACATTTACTTAGAAAAATATTTGGGAACGATTTTTCTTGCATTTAAAATATGTGTTGTGATATCTTGCATTTGTTTCAAAATCATCTAGTGGGACATGATGGTAGGAGGAGTGAGTGGAATTATAGATGAAATAAAATTGGTTTTGAGTCAATAATTGTTGAAAATGGGTGATGGGAAAGTGGTTTTTCATTGACATCTCTATATATATGTTTGACATTTTCCATTATAAAAAGTAAAAATGAAAAACATTATATGGAGGATGCCTGGATGGCTCAGTCACTTAAGCGCCAACTCTTGATTTCAGCTCAGGTCATGATCTCAGGGTGGTGGGATTGAGCCCTGTGTCAGGCTCCCCACTCATGAGGGAGTCTGGTTGAGATTATCTCCCTCTCCCATAGCCCCTCCTCCCTCAATAAATAAATCTTTAAAAAAAAAGACTGTGTGGTATTGGTTTCATTGACCACATTTCAACCAAGCTTAAAATGCCCCATAGCTTATCATTAAAACATTAAAATAATTTAGGGGGGGGCAAAGGGAGAAGGAGAGAGAGAATCTTAAGCAGGCTTCATGCCCAGTGCAGAGCCCAATGCAGGGCTCCATCTCACAACCCTGAGATCATGGCCAGAACCAAAATCAAGAGTCGGACGCTAAACCAACTGAGCCACCCAGGCGCCCGATTTTTCTTATTTTTTAATGAATACATTTAATTTCTGTAAATTTCTCTCCAACTACAGCTTATTTGTATTTCAGGAACTGTTTTGATACGTATTTCTTTTGTGGTTAGTTTTAAATATTTTATGATTTTCATAGTGGTTATTTAGGAGTTTTTTAGTTCCCAAGCATATAGGGTATTTGCTTATTTTATTTTTGTTATTTTAAATTTTTAATTGCACTATGGTCAGAGAATTATGTACTACTGATTTTTAAAAATATATTGAAACTTGTGAGCAGTACATATTCAATTTTTGTAAATGTTCACGTTCTTGATAGGAAGGATATTTACTATTTGTTGATGAATCTCTTAGCTCAAGCTAATTAATTTGGCTGTCCATAACATGAGTATCCTCACCGTTTTTTTTCCCCTGCTAGCTCTGTTGATTTGTTAGAGGTATATTAAATAAACTGTAACTATAGTTTAAAAAATTCTCCTTATAATTGTGTCCATTTTTGCTTGGATGCTATATTGTTTGATTTACTTAAATCTTCTAGATGAATTCTCCTTTCATTATTATTCAGTGCCATTTTTTATTCCTTTATTTCCAAGCTTTTTATGTCATTTAGCTTTAACAGTATTCTTTTTATGTCCTGTGTAATCATTTCTGCCTTCTGATAAGTGAATTTATTTATATTATTGGGTTATTAACTTAAAGTTGTATGAACCATCTTATTTTTTGTATTTTCTTTTTTTTACTATCCCTTTTCTTTGTTGTTTTCTGTCTTCTGTTGGATTGAAGGAATTTTTGTTGTCTTTATTTTTCTTTTTCTGGTTTGGAAAGACCTTAAAATGCTTTAACTTGGTTTTCCTGTCTGTTAAGTTAGATAATACTTTACTTCCTCTTTGTTTTGAATCCTCCTACTCTCTAGGTTATCATTAATGTTATTTTTATATTCTGTACTAAGTTAGATTTATCATCATATTTTCTAATTTTTTTCCTCATCATGTTTTTTTTCTAGGTTCAGGTTCCTCCTTCCTGAAGTGTAGACCCTTCATTACTTCTGAGTCTCATCTTTTCTGAAAATTTTATTACATGACATTTATTCTTCAATGACAGTTTAGCTGCACATGGAATTCTAAATGGTCTGTTTTCTTCCTCCTCAGTCCATTAAAGATAACACTTCATTGTCTATTGGAATCTAGAGATGTTGAAAAGCCATTTTAGCTTTTTAGAACATAATGCTGGTAGACTATTTTTCTTGGTTCTTTTAAAATAATTGCTTTGGTAACTTAAAGATCATTTTTGTCTTTGAAGTTCTGCAATTTCACTATAATGTATACAGTGTGGGCTTGTTTTCTTTCTTTCTCTCTTTTTTTTAAGATTTAATTTTTAAGTAATCTCTACACCCAGTGTGGGGTTTCAAACCCACAACCCCGAGATCAAGAGTCACATGCTCTACCAACAGAGCCAGCCAGGTGCCCCTGTTTTCTTAATTCTACTTGAGATTCATGTCTTTCCTCAATTTAAGAAAATTCTCAGTATTCAAATATTGACATTCCCTCCTCCTCTGGAATTTCCTTCTGCAGCTTCTATTAGGTAACTACACATCTGTCTTTGTCCTATAGTCTCTCTTCAATGCATGTTAACCTCTCTTTTGTATTTTTATCTTTTTGTTTCTCTATCTCCTTTTAGGTGAATTTTCTCAAATCTGTCTTCTCATTCGTTTCCTTTTCAGTTCATAGTATTGTTCAGTGTAGCCACTGAGTGAGTTTTTAAATGCAATGACTGTTTTTCATTTATGTAATTTCTATTTGGTTCTTTTCTAAATTCAGTGTTCTTTTGTAATAAATACTTGTTCTTGCCTAATGGTTTCTATTCCTGCTTTTGGGGGAGTGGGCAAATGAAAAATGCTGGTTTAAAAATCTCTTAAAAATAGATTGTAGATTTAGATAATCCTGTTCTTATGGTATAAATTTTGTTGTGTCTACTGATTCTCTTTCTTGGCAACTCCTTTCTTTATGCAATTTGTTATCTTTGTGAAGTCATTTTTAGTAGGGTTTGCTTTCTGAGAGAGTTCCGTATATTCTAGATAAGTAAATATCCTTGTAGGTTGATTGCACATTTACTTTTCCTAGCTTATCAGAGTTTTCACTGGTTTTGGAGCAGCTTTCTGTACTAAAATTTGGCATAGGGTCCCTCTACCATTTGGGTTAGATGAATTTTCTGTGTTTACTCACAAGAGAATCTTTTCCGCCCATGGTTCAGTTTCATTTCCGTTCACCTAAGGTTAGGGGTAGTGTTTTTGTAGTCTGTGTTTCACAGGTGTAGCCCTTCGTGACTCCCACACATGCATCAGTTTTTAGCTGTTAGACTGTTTTGGCTTCTGTTCCTGTTTACTGCTCTCACTTTGAGTTGCTGCTTTATTTTTAGTGCCAGGGTATTTCCCTTGCCTGAGCTGGAGCTTAGCAATATTTCCTTCATTACATTTTATCCAACATGTCCATCAGTTTGGAGCAGAATAGTGTTCTGAGTCATCTCAGAATACTATATTGACCAGAAGCTTCTATTTAAGTTCTCATGATTCTTGTTAAGGAAATATGAAAAATCAAGTAATGGCATCTTAACTGCAACTTCTCATCTTTATTAGATATTTTTCTTTTGATTAATTCATCCTAAGATATACAGATATTTCTTAAAACACTAGACTGTTTTAAGAAGAGATATAATACTACCTTTTTTTTCTGGGAGTGGGGATTGTCAGTGATTTTTGTTACTTCTGAATCACATATCTAACTGAAACAACAAGGTATTTTAAAAATTGCTCAACATATTCCCTTCATATAATTTCAAAAGAGCCTAGATAGTCTAGAAATGTGAGCTATGAATAAAATTAAAAAATTTTATGCTTTTGGAGATGTTTATTATAGTGTTAACCTTTAAAAGTGAAAAAAGGACTTTAACAGTAGGAACAGTTCAGTACATTATGTTAAGTGCAACTCATTACAATATTGTGTAGCAATTTAAGGCATGAATTATAAAAATTATGTAGAGCTAAACATATTCTATATTTTTATGGGAAAACATAGTATGAAATTGTGAATATAGGTGAAAATTGGAAGGAAATATGAAAAATAGAAACAATTGGATGATGGTAGGATTATGAGCAATTTTATCTTTAAAAACAGTTTCCTTCAGTGATATTGCCATTCTTCCATTCTAAATTGGGCCAAATAGTACTCCTATTCTTTGCCAGATTCCAAATTGACTGGGGGAAAAAAAGGAGTGGCAGGTAGACGTCAAAACAAGCACCTTTGTTTCTGAAGCTGATATTGAAGTGTGTAACTGAGATATGAGCCACATTAGGCCTGCTCACTAAGCTCCAGATTTACCTCCCCAGTTGCAGCAATACCCCCAGACCAAAGCAGGCTTCTCCCTCATCCTGTCCCACTCCTGCCCCCATTTGGAGTTGATCCCAAGAAGATGAATAGTGGAACTAAATTGAACCCACCCAATTTATTCTACCCAAATAAGTCATTACACCTGAATGAGGGCCAGAGAGAGGCCAAGAGTTACTGTTTGAATTACTACCACAAAAGATGAGGAATCATGAAGATTTGGAGGTAAGTGTTCTAATAGTAATGGTAATTTTAGAGTAAAGATGTCATGTGTATGTTTTGGTATTCTTGATGAGCTAAAGTGTAGTTATTGAAACTTAATTACTTTTATTTTTGTTAGAATCTTCAGTATATCCCAAATAATGAAATTATTTTTTGCTTTTAGGCGTTTGAATGCAGAATTAGAGGCAAAAACAGCTGATCTGGTTCGTCAAGCTGAGGAAGTAATAGTAAGTGAATGTGCAATTATTATTTCATGTGAGTGCTAGTTTTTTAACTTTCTAAAGTGCCCAAAGCATAAATTTTTAGGTCAATGAATTATCACAGATTGAATATGAATATATGAATAGATGTGTATATATATGCACAAATGTTTTTGATATGCACACATTTTCTAAAAGCCACTGAAAAAGCCTTTTCTATTTAGATGTTCCAACCATCTAATTAATAAGAACATTGATATTTAATAATCTTTCCCACTACTTTAAAATTAATGTTTGAGAGTAAATGTATAGAATTAATGCTGGTAATTCAGTAAGGATAGAAATAAAATGGGCTCAGGACAAAAGTTGAATAAAGGATAGCAATCATCACTAATACTCAGATGATAATTTGTTTCTTAAATTCCCCAGTTGGTTGTAATTCAAATTCTTAGGGCTAGTCTAGTCAGATTTATAGTTAGAAAAAAATGTAGTGGTTATATCACTAGACAAAGTAAGCATATTTTGCTCCATTCTGGCTACCAAATTGGTTATTCCTACTTTAAGCAGCAACTTAAGCATTAGCATTCCCATTATTTATTGATAGGATATTAGGATATAGTAGTATTCCTTAGACGAATAAAGTAGCTGCTTTCAAACTTTTTTCAGTTTTTACTCTATACTTTTTTCTTTTAAATTCTCCACCCATCCTCCTTGGGGGTGGTAGTGAAAAATAGGCAATAATTTGTTTTAATGCCTTATACAGATCCATCATTATTTGTTACTTTTGGAATAAGAAACATATATATATATATAATATTTCAGGTAATATATTTAGATAATGGTTACAGATTTGCTAGTTTCATTTATAATTAAATATTTTACTAAAAATAAATTTTTATTATATCTTTTAGTTTTTGCCAGTGTCTAAAGTAGGAAAATAATTAACAAACCCAGTGTTCGAGAAGAATGAAGGATTCATTATACATTCTGCTCCAAGAATCCTCTAATAAGGATGATTCCCTGCCCCCCCCTCCCCCCAAAAGAGTAGAGTAGAAGCCTGGGAAGGACTGGGAAAGGGGAGAGGACATTCCTGTGCCACGGGAGCTAATGGATATAACTTTTACTGCATTGAACTTTTGTTCACTCATTTTCACTTCTTGATATATCATTGCCAAAAGCTTTTACTCTTAGTGCTTTAGTGCTTCATGGTCTTCACATTGAAGCTCTGGGGCATGGGTGGCTCAGTCGGTTAAGCATCTGATTCTTGATTTCTACTCAGGTCATGATCTCAGGGTTGTGAGTTCGAGCCCCATGTTGGGCTCTGCACTGGGCATGGAGCGTGCTTAAGATTCTTTCTCTCCCTCTGCCCCTCCTCCTCCACCACCCCCCATGCACTCTCTCTCTCAAAAAAAAAAAAAAAAAAAAATTGAAGCTTTGCCTGATTTGAGACAAGTTTTTCTACCCATTAAACGAATTTATGCTTTAATTTCCTGTGAGCCTAATTTCCTTTGCATGTTACACAAGTTGGAAGCCTAATGTAGTGGGGAAGCAGGAGGTAGATAAAATCAGATAAAGGCACTGATACATTTTTCCCTTAGAACTGACTTTCTTAATCCAGAATGAATGAAAGGTGGAACTACATTGTTACAGACCTTATATTCATACCATAGCATTTGAGTTCTATGCCTTGATTTCATGGAAACTGTGGACAACTCTGAAATGATTAATGATCAGAAAGGTACTTGACTATATCCTGGTTTTGTGGTTTTTCTCTATGTGACTTATCTTTATTCATTTAACTAGAGAGATCAGCGAGAAGTACAATCAAGGCCGGTCTCAACACAAATTAAATCATATGAAAAGGAAGAGGATTGCAGTTTAAGGTAAGTAACTTAAATTCTCAAACACCATTTTTTTGATGATGTATGTAGATCTTTTGTTACGTAAAATCTTTTTTGCATGTAAGTATTAAAAATCTATAATTTGAAAAATAATGTAATATATAATATACTAATAAAGGGGCGCCTGGGTGGCTCAGTTGTTAAGCAGCTGCCTTCAGCTCAGGTCATGATCCCAGGGTCCTGGGATGGAGGACCCATGATCCCAGGGTCCTGCTCAGCGGGAAGCCTGCTTCTCCCTCTCCCACTCTCCCTGCTTGTGTTCTCTCTCGCTGTGTCTCTCTCTGTCAAATAAAAAAATAAAATCTTAAAAAATATATATATATATACTAATAAAATGGAGGCTTATATGAACCACATGATGTAAACCCTTTACCTACTTTATGTCATTTAGTCCTTAAAGTATTATTTTGAAATAAATATTATTGTCCTCATTATAAAAATGAGGAAATAGGAGCTTAGCAAAGTTTAGTAGCTTGCCCAAGGATATATAGATAATATGTGATTTCACTGAGATGCAAACCACAGTTGGTAAGATTTCTGAACCTTTTCTTACATAGTATACTATCTTTCTTTTTTTTAAATTCCATATGAAAATTAGATAAAAATAAGTTCGTAAAAATAAAATAGATCTGTTTTTCCTTGAATTTCACGTGAACTTCAGGTATGTCAAAAAAATAGAGAATCGGGACGCTTGGGTGGCTCAGTCAGTTAAGTGTCTGCCTTCGGCTCAGGTCATGATCCCAGAGTCCTGGGATCGAGTCCCACATCAGGCTCCGTGCTCGATGGGGAGCCTGGTTCTCCCTCTGCGTGCTTCTCCCTCTGCCTGCCACTCCCCACCTGCTTGTGCTCTCTCTCTCTCTGACAAATAAATAAAATCTTTAAAAAAAAATAGGGAATGGAGATGTATTTAGGAATAAACTTAACAGGAAACAAAGGATCTGTGTGAATAAAAGTATAAAATGGTATAGCAGAGGCAATGGTGTTCACCCAACATTCCTAGCTGCTATGAGCAGAAGTCAGATTATTCTCCTCCAAGCCAACTGATAGGAGTTGTATTTTGAACCTCCAGCTGACTCTTTCTCTGCCATGATCAGTGAAAATCCAGTTGATGAAACCTCCCAGCCTGGTCTCTGGGTGACCATGTGGAACTTATGGGAAAAAAGGGCCCTCTGTCCCTCTCTACTGCTACTTTGTGTTAAGCCGCTGAAATTTGGGGTTGATCTCCTAGCTTATCCTAACGAATACAGCAATTGGTATTGAGAATTAGGTGCCATATGACAAAAACTGGGAAAGTGTGTCTTTAGCTTCGTAGTTAGGTGGTAGCCAGCAAGGAAACTGATCCTGGAGGCTGGAAAGGTAGAGAGGTACTATTAATATAGTGGCAATGGATTTAGTAAAGCTGCCACCTTTGGTAAATTGGAAGGCAGAACAGGTGTCAAATGAACTTGTGCTCTTGGGAGGGGGAAGGGGAGAGGTTGGAAAACAGAACATTAGTAGTATGTGCTGTTACTATTAGTTGTATTCTTTCCACACTGAATTGTCTTGGCAGTCTTGTCAAAAATCAGCTGACTGGAGGCACATGGTTTCATTTGTGGACTCTCAATTCTATTCCATTGATCTATATATCTGTTCTTATGCCAGTACCACACTGTCTTGATTACCCTTGCTTTGTAGGGTTAGCTGCTTTTATTTTTTTATTTTTTAAGATTTTATTTATTCATTTGAGACACAGAGATACAGAGAGAGAGAGAAAGAGAGAGCATGAGCAGGGGGAGAGGCAGGCAGAGAGAGGGAGAAGCAGGCTCCCTGCACAGCAGGGAGCCTGATGTGGGGCTCCATCCCAGGACCCTGGGATCATGACCTGAGCCAAAGGCAGACGCTTAACCGACTGAGCCACCCAGGCGCCCTGGGTTAGCTGCTTTTAGACCAAAAAATTAGATAAAATTGAGGAAGTCTTTGAGGAACAAAGCCTATTAAAGCTCAGCCTTGAAGCAAAGATCAGACTAAAGATGTGGTCTTCATGCTATTGATAAGACTTTATAATGGATTAAGGTTCTTCAGGGCAAGGATCATTTTGAATGGCACCTAGTGAAACTTCCAATTAGATAAAATGGCTCCAGGCAAAGCTCTAACTAAAGGTATAGTCTCCCTATAGAAGCCTGACAACCTCAAAGTAAGCCATTATTAAAGTGGGGGGGGTGGGGAAGAGGGTGAGGTGTTCAGTGTAAAGAAATATAGTCTTGGAAAGAACAGTGGATGTGGTAATGGCACATGGAACTGACTGGAATCAAACAGATATGAAATCCACTAGTTTTGGGAGGGAGTTGTACCAGCTAAGAAACTTTGAATGATAGACTAAAACTGTGACTGTTTAAATCTCAAAACAGCTGTAGGTCCTCCCAGTCTTCTAAGATGAAGAAGCAGGCTGTGAGAGCAGCACGGCCCTAACAGGGTAGAATGTTTAAACACCTTAGAGGACTTACAAACAAAAAGAAATGCCCATCCCCCATCTAGTCCCTCTCCCTGCCTACTTCCTCTCCAGTAACCATCAGTTTGTTCTCTAGAGTTAGGAGTCTGTTTTCTGGTTGGTTTCCCTGTCTTTTCTCCCCCCCCCATTCCATTTATTTGACGTTCTGAAAAAGGTAAAACTATAGCCACAGTATCTGATTAGTGTTTGTGTGTTATGGAGGGGAGGGAATTAACTACAAAGAGTCACAATGGAAATTTTGGTGATGATGGAAATTGTCTCTATCTTAGTTGTTGTGGTGGCTACATGACCATAAAATTTATAGAACTGTTTGGGACTCAGTCAGTTAAGCCTCTGCCTTCAGCTCAGGTCATGATCCCAGGGTCCTGGGATCGAGTCCCGTATCGGGCTCCTTGCTCAACAGGGAGCCTGCTTCTCCCTCTGCCTGCCGCTCCCCCTGCTTGTGCTCTCTTTCTCTCTGACAAATAAATAAAATCTAAAAAAAAAAAAAAATTTATAGAACTGTAGAGGTGCCTGGGTGGTTCAGTCGGTTGGATGTCTGACTCTGACATGATCTCATGGCTTGTGGGATTGAGCCCCGCATTGGACTTCTTGCTCAGTGGGGAGTCTGCTTGAAAGATTCTGTCTTTCTGCCCCTCCCCCTACTTACGTGCTCTCTCCCTCCCTAAAAATGAATAAAACTTTAAAAAAATTTATAGAACTGTAAATCTAAAAAGAGTGTATTTTAAATTTTTTTATATCATTTGAAATACACACATGAAACTACATATCCTTATTACATGTAATGCTTTCTGATATTTTATGGGAAATGATGTTTAGCAGTTATCAAAATTCCAAAATTTGTATTACAAAGATTAGGCACAGCTTTTATTAAGTAAACTAAAAGACTGAAATGATGGTAACAACAGCTAATCCCTAGATTCTGTTGAAGCAAGTGAGAGACTGATTTCACAAGCATAAAAATAAATCTGTCGGTTTCCTTTCACTAAATTTTCCTTAAGTGCAAAGTGGTGATGACACCTCTGTTTACCTTGATCAGGTGGCTTTTTAAAAAAATGCTACTGTTTGAACAGATGGCTTTTACCATGTGAAACATGCCCCTTGACTATTATTTGGAAATTGCTGAAGATGGGAGGTAATTCTGTAAAGAGACAATCCATTTTGGCTTGGAACAGTCATTCATGTAAATGATGGTGGTCAGGCAGTATATATTATAATAGATCTTCAACATCCAAGGTTACTCTGCCAAACAATATGGTCAGGAAACCAGAATTTAGTTTCCTAATAGTATAGCATACATATCCTTCATTCTGCTGGAAGCAAGATTGACCACACAAATCATTTCAGTTATGTTACACACAAACCTTTCATGGAGAAGTGTAACAAAAATAGCTAGAGTACGGTGTTTTAGTTCATTTTTCATGGAAATACACTAGCAAAATAATGTCACTCTGCTAAACCTGAGGGAGACCAATAACCCTTAAATGTCTTTTGGCTGATACATATGTGTATCAGGGGAGCGGAGATGGAAGATGTAGAAAATGTAAGGAAATGGCAAATATTAATTTGATATGAAGGCCATTAAAGAGGACGCTTAAAATTTGAATAAAACTTGGTAACAGTTTAATGTCATATGTGAGAATGATTCTTTAGTCTCTATAATTTTAAGGTATTTTGAAAGCCACCTTTTTTCTTCCCAGAGCTATTTCTAGTTCTTTAAAAGGTTGTATATAATATTATCTAAGTATATTTTTGTGTTTAATATTGAAATAACTTAGTTGAGTAGGTGGCATATGACAGAAAGTAATTTTGTTTTTGTGTCCTTATGGTTATGAATTCTCAAGGGATATGATGGAGGAGTTTTTTTTGGTTTTTAATAGTAACAATAGTAACATGGTAGATTTTCAGAAATATTAATACATGTAATGGGGAAGATCTAGACAATTGATCGGGGTAGGCAAACTCATCCAATAAAATTTACAAAATTTTTGTATTTGTGGGCTTTACAGTCTTTGTCATAACTACTCAACTTTGCTGTTGTAGTGAGAAAACAGCCATAGATAATGTGAAATGAATGGATGTGGGTGGATTCAGCCCATGGGCCATAAAGTGCAGACCCCATAAACACTCTTTGTTTTAAATAAAAACATATTTTGAAAACTGTGCATAAAAATGAGTTGTATTTTAGAGGTCAAACTTCCAGTAATAAAATGAGTTAGTTGTGGCAATGTAATTACAGCACACGGAATATAGTCAATAATATTATAACAACTTTGTATGGTAACATATGGTAACTAGACCTGTTGTGGGGGCCATTTTGTAATATATAAAAATACTGAATCACTGTGATGTACACCTGAAACTAATAGGCTATTGTATGTCAATTACACTTCAATAAAAAAAAGAATGTGAAGTTAAAATGTTAAAAAAAAAATGAGTTGTATTTTAGATGTATTTATTCATACATTTAACAAATACTTATTCAGTGACAGTTTAAGAGCTCATATGCTAGGTACTATGCCATGTACTAGGCATAGAGCAGTGAACAAGGCAGACATGATTCCTACCCTCATGGAGTTCACAGTGTAATGGGGAAAACAGACACTGACCAAGTATTTAAATGCATTTACAAAGGATAACACTGGATGGGCTCACACTAAAAAGCCTTGTGGTGAATCATTTTGTAAAATTGATAATCCCTGTGTATTACCAATAATCACTCCTTATGATTTTCATTTGTTAAAATTTGTGCTATATTTCACTACAAAAATATTGGTATTATAGTATATCTTCTCAAAGGTGAATTATTTAACCAAAGAACTTTTGTTGTTTTTGATACTTATCAAAATAAATTAACAGGTGCATGACTAGAATCATAGCAAAGTCTACTTGATAGTTGTCTATTTTCCCTTTCAGATATAATTACTGTTCAATTTTATTGTGTCTCACTTTAGTATCATCTATTGTTAATGTGTAATGTTTATTTTTGGTCTGTAGAGGTCTGTTGTCTGAAGGGATCGTTCATCTACATTCACAAACTAAGGTATGAAATCAAACTTTTGGGGTGCCTGGGTGGCTCAGTTGGTTAAGCGGCTGCCTTCAGCTCAGGTCATGATCCCGGGGTCCTGGGATCAAGCCCCACATCGGGCTCCCTGCTCAGCGGAGAGCCTGCTTCTCCCTCTCCCTACGCCTGCTCTCCCCCTGCTTGTGTGCTCTCAAATAAATAAATAAAATGTTTAAAAAAAAATAAAACTTTCTATAAATATAATTACATTCTGTAGAATTTAGGTTATTTTTTAGAATTTTCTTAGAATAAAACAGAGTATGACTATAGAAATAGAATATAAGCCTTGATACTTAGAAGAAATGCCTTCATGAAATGTTGCTCATAAAATAAATTGAATCCTTTTTTGTTTCATAATTTCACTGAATAATCTGGATATATATTGGAAAAAATTCTAAGTAAAATGAATCTGTAACCTAAGCATTTTTAGTTTCTTCTCTGAAGCCCAAATTTACTAGATATACCACCCAAAAAAGAAAAGTATTTATATACAAAGGAGGTAATTTGAGAGGTTTATTCATTCATTTAAATATTTACAGTGTGTAGATCACTATTGCAGGTGCTGGGTGCATTGGGATCTACACGTTCCCCACCTACTGGGATCTAGGCCAAGGGAACGGTATATGTGAAGGTCTGTCTGGGGAATAATCAGTGAGGAGAACTAATTTCTGTGAGCCAGAACATCCAGTTTAATGTTCCACTAGGTAGCTGATTATCCTTGAATTTTGGAGGCTCATTTTCCTTATCTTTGAATCTATTGGTGCTAGTGATATCTAGGTCTTTTCCTAGATATATACAATTCGGGGATTCTTTAAAATACAATTTGATTAATTCCATGAAAATAGCAATTCTTGTGTGTAGTAAACTAGCAATTCTGTGTATTACAAAATTGCTTTCCATGACAAATGATTAGAATCTAATTAATCAATAATTTAAATTCTTTTGATGTAGCCAAAGACCGAAAATGTTGATGCAGTAAACAAGGTTCAAAATAAACTGCGCTCTGCGAATAAAGGAAGGAAAACAAATTCAAGGTATAGAACAGTTTTAAAAGTATTACTTTCCTGGGGCGCCTGGGTGGCTCAGTTGGTTAAGCGACTGCCTTCGGCTCAGGTCATGATCCTGGAGTCCCGGGATCGAGTCCC